CAGAACTCTGTGGAGCTCTGCAAGAGCGGCATGAAACAGCTTATAGTGTGTTGGCAATAGGTTGTAGATATTGATGGTGTGTAGTCATACTGGATGAATGGCACAATGGGATAATGAAAATATTAAAATGAAAATTCAGCCAGTTTGTTGCAAGACTTATGGACCAACCTAATACTGTGTGAATTTTGAGCAAAACTGTTCATTACTGCCCGGGGTAGATCAGAAATGATTTCCAAACGTTTCTGGCAAGTTGTAATTTGAAAGAGAACAGCCTTTAGAATTTAGAAGGAGAATAGCCTTGAAATTTAATGTACTAATGAAGCCATGAAAGCTTTGAAAGCTTCTGTTTGATCACAAAAAGCTTATTCCGTCTGTGTCTGTTTTCCCCTAATCGTTTGAGAGGACATAAAAGCCGTCCAGAATGTTGGCCGCGCTAGCAAAATCGGACAGCTTTGCTTCTGAATGAAAATCGAATATGAGACGAATTCCAAGAGAAGGTGAAATGAGAACGGTCCACTTTTTTGATCGACATTCACAATATTTTCAAGGAGATTATCCGCAGTGCAACTATATTGCTCTACCTGCTCTCTCACCCACCATGGAGACTGGTCGCATAGTCAGCTGGCAAAAGGTATGATTGCATATTTTCAGTTTTATTGTCATTTTGATACCGTTGTTAAATACTTTGTTACTGATATTTTATATTTTAGTAGTATTAATATAATATTAATTAATAGCAATTTTTATTACAAAATATTTGATTAATATATTTATCATGAAATATATAATTGTTGTTTATTCAATATTTATATACTACTGTTTTACTAAATCTCTACTGAAAGTTATTGTAATAATAAAAGCTGAAAATTACTAAAGAGGACTTTGCTTACAACTCTTCCTACTCACTAGCCTAATTTGGCGCTTCAGCCTCTTCCTTATTTTCCATGTGCTTTAGAATGATCATTGATTTTGCGCGTGAATTATTGAGAGCCGTAGGAGCCTTATTTTACCTCTTCAGAGAAATCTAATTGACTTCTATTCAGAAAGAAGGTGACGAACTGGCCGAAGGTGATGTGTTATGTGAGATCGAAACGGATAAAGCGACTATGAGCTTTGAAACACCCGAAGAAGGTTTCCTTGCCAAGATCGTCATTCCTGAAGGCACGAAGGGCGTTCCAATAGGAAAAGTGCGCTACTGACTACAAGCCCCTCTATTCAAAAGTTCAATTATGGTCATTTCAGCTTCTTTGCATTATTGTCGACAACAAAGATAAAGTGGCAGCGTTCAAGGACTTCAAAGACACTGGAGAAACAGTCAAGCCACCGACACCTGCTGCAGCTCCTCCAAGCGCACCTCCACCGGCGGCAGCACCACCTCCCCCTGCAGCAGCGCCTGCACCTGTGGTATGTCCATTTTTATCGCTCCAGAAAATTTATCCATGAAAAAGGAAACCGTTAAAGGCAGCCGCTGCACCTCCACCTGCAGCTCCTCATCCAGGAGGGCATGTAAGCGCTACACCTTTGGCAAGAAAGCTCGCCGCTGAGCGTGGCGTGGATATTAGCGTGAGCATCCTGCAGGCAACTCTTGTTTTTCTGGGATGTACTCTTTCTATTGTAGGGAGTGGCTGGTTCCGGCCCAGGTGGACGTATTCTTGCAGCCGACCTTGCACGGGCCCCGGCCGGTGCGGCTGCACCGGCTGCTGCCCCGCGTCCAGGCGTTCCTAGTGGACCCGTAGCCGATTATATCGTAAGTTCCACTATTAAATAGCAGTACTATGACTGAATTTTTTTTAAACGGTTGCTCATACGAATGAGTTTTTTAAGGACATTCCTCTCACGGGAATGCGCAGTACCATTGCTAAACGTTTGACGGAAAGTAAGAGCACAATTCCGCATTACTATCTGACTGCTGAAATTAATATCGATGCCCTGCTCAAGTAGGTTGATTCATAAATCTTGGTCATTTTTAACTGATGAAGCTGGTAAACAAATCAGGGCATAAAAAACTCGTCACTAAAAGGAGAGTAGTGATTTAGAGTGAAGGGAAGGGATAAAAGATAAGCTCTGCAGCAAAAATTGGATTGCAAAACTCTGAATCTCGTTGAATAAAGGGGTTCACAAGGAGTGAGATTGTTTAAGCACGTAAATAATGTCGGGCTTCGGTCACACTCAAGAAATTCAAATGGTATTCTCTGTGACGGTGTTAGATGGAAACGAAACGGTGCTCGGGTCCAGACTAGAAGAAACGGAAGTGGCTTCAGACTGAGGAGATTTAGAGTGGGACGTTCTGTGTGATGGGGAACTTTTGGAGTTGTCCTCTCCACTTCACGTTGGCTCATCGCATGATCTTCTTGCTTGTGCAGAGTTAAAGTCGCTGAACTTACATTTAGCAACATGAGCTGCAAGGGTAAACTAAACAGATGTTCTACATAGTCTTCA